TTGAACCGCCAGCCTTCTGGTTAGCAGTCAAGTGCCTTAGGCACTACGCTACCAGAGCTCCCAAGGAGCCTGTAGACACTGGTAACCACAAGGGTGGCGGTTCAAACCCACCACCCACTCCTTGGAAGGAAGGTTGCACAATCTATTTCCGTAGTGATACCGCCTGGGAAACCCAAGGAGGGCGGGGTCGCTGTGAGTCCATCCGACTCCAAGACACATTAACAACAGCCAACTCTCCCCAGAGACGAAGCTACTTGTGGGCAGGGGCCTTGTCAATGTTACTCACCACTTTATGTTCTGGACCATCAAGCACATAACGTATGCTCATTAAATATGTAATGAATTAGTGGAATGTATGAATACCAGTTCTGCTCCTTGATGCGCACTCTGGCTTACAAACAAATCTGTCCAGTGAAAGAACTTTTGTCACTAGCTGAGTTGTTGGTCACCTACGACTCTCTGGAAGAGACAAAAAAAAAAAAAAAAAAGAACCCCAATATATAGCATGGATGAGATAAACGCTCTGCGGAAGCAAGACTAGGCGACCTACTTCCCTAAAGATTTACAGCCTCGGTCGGAAACTCAAAGGGAGCTGCTATGAGTCAGAAACGACTACACCGCACAGTTTGTTTTTTTAGGCTCTCAGCGCTGAACTGCGGCTGCGCAGAGCGTGAGGTGGCTCAGGGCGGGCTGAACCCGCTCTCCGGAAGTGGGTCGAGAGCCGGCGAGACGGCGCGGTGAGGTGGGCTAGAGCGGCCCAGCGCGGCCTGGCTAGGTGGGGGCGAGCCAGCCATGGAGGACGAGCAGAGTTTCTCGGACATCTGTGGCGGTCGCCTGGCCCTGCAGCGCCGCTACTACTCTCCGTCCTGCAGGGAGTTCTGCCTCAGCTGCCCTCGGCTCTCGCTGCGCTCGCTCACTGCTGTCACCTGCACAGTGTGGCTGGTGGCGTACGGACTCTTCACCCTATGTGAGGTAATGGCCGGTGGGCCTGTCCCTGCCTTCGGAGTCGGGGCTCTGGTTTGGAAGGCTTTTCGAGTTCATTTTGGTCGGGCTCGGGCCTCTTGCCGACCCTATTACAGTCGTAGCGCCGGAGGACATGGAGACGCTGGTTCTGGAGACGCCGTTTAGTGAAGTTTGTGCTCTTGTACCTTCTCCCGCTGAGATGGGTCCTTGCCATGCTCTTGTGGATCCACCCAACATACATCTTAGTCCTTGCACGACAGCCTTAAACTTGACTTTCATGTGCGCTATGTAGTAATACTCAGTCATTTAATTCCAAGAGTTCAGAGAACTGTTAAGTGGATCCTCCTCATCCATCACTTTGACTCCTTCTGAGGAGTAGTCTTCCAGAAACTGCCTTTGCCTTTACACGTGTGTGTGTGTCTGTGAATACATGTATACAGTGTGTGTATGTATAGGCATGTGAAGAAGCTCTAGGGGAGTGTGGTTAAAACTCTGTGCTGCTAAACCCAAAGGTCGGCCACTGCCGCTCTGTGGGAGAAGGACGGGGCACTCTGCTTCTGTAAAGGTTTACAGCCTTGAAAACTATGGAGCAGTTCTGCTCTATTTACAGGGTCGCTGTGAGTTGGAAGAAGCCTGAATAGTTTGCATACTCTTGATCTAGGACTTACTGTTTGGTGTGAAGTAGAAAAATACAAAGCAGCAGCAGCTTCCTATCCTCAAGGAATGGTAATGTGCAGGAAGTGCCATAAATTATCGTATCTCTTTGAGTCTAGGTTTTCAACATGCCGTCATTTTAAATAATAACTTTGAAAAAAGAGAAAGCTATATCACATCATCAGCTAAAAGACACATTTCAACTTCAGAAATGTTAAAAGGTTGTAAATGTCTTAGAATCAAGGAGATAAATAGCTACTGCCTTAGTGTTTACCACATCCATCAGACAGAGTGTTGTTATGTGCCGTAGAGTCAGACCTGACTCATGGCGACCTCTCCTTAGGTTTCCGAGGCAGTATCACTGCAGGAGTAGATTGCCTAACCTTCTTTCTGAGGAGTAGCTGATGGGTTTGAACTGCCAGCCTTCTGGTTAGCAGGTAAGTGCTTTAGGCACTACGCTACCAGAGCTCCCTTTAGACAGAGTTAGCTGCAAGTAACCCAAAACTTTAAAAGAGATTTAAAGGGTAAAAAAACAAACTCACTGCCATCGAGCGATAGCAATCCCTTTGGGTTTCCAAGGTGGTAAATCTTTACTGAAGTAGATTGCCCAGTCTTCCCTCTGTGGAGTGGGTGGTAGGTTTTAACCACCAACCTTCGGGTTAGCAGTCAAATGCCTTAGGTACTATGCCACCAAAACTCCGACTTAAATGTTGTTGTTATGTGCCGTCGAGTCGGCCCTGACTCATAGCGACCCCTCCTTGGGTTTCCGAGGCAGTATCACTACGGAAGTAGGATTGCCCAACCTTCCTTCCGACACTTAAAGGATAAGCAACTTTATTATTTAATAAAACAGGAAGTCCAGAGGTAGGAGGGCTACAGAGTTGATTATATAAGATGTTCATTGGACCCTGGTTCTTTCCATCTTATGGCTCTTCCTTCCTCATTGTATTCTACTTGTCCTCAGCTTAGCTTTCCAGATTGTCTGGTGGAGGCCAGGGCATCAAAACCTCACTAAAGAAGGGACCTTCTCTTCCTTAACTCTCTTTTTAACATGACTGAAGCTTTTCAGAAGCCCCTGTAGCAGACCCCCACTCACATCTCATTGGCCAGAGTTGTCATGTACCCATCCTTAGCTAATCGTTGGCAGAAGGAGTAGGAACCAGTCATGATTTCGATTTATTATGTTGTTGTTGTTATGTGCCGTCGAGTCGGCCCCGACTCATAGCAACCCCTCCTTGGGTTTCCGAGGCAGTATCACTACGGAGGTAGGATTGCCCAACCTTCCTTCCGAGGAGTGACTTATTATATATTCTTATATATGCATTAGGCATTTGACTACTAACCAGAAGGCTGGCGATTCAAATTCACTAGCCACTCCTTGCAAGGAAGGTTGGGCAATCTACTTCCGTAGTGATACCGCCTCGGAAATCCAAGGAGGGGTTGTTATAAGTTGGGTCCGACTTGATGGCACATAGCAACAACAACAACATATGTGTTCACAAGTTCTAGTAGGAAGAAGTGACAGTTGAGGCAATGATTAGTATCTGCTACTCTGGTGCTAAGTACTTAACAGTTCAGTGTATAATTTTGCACTAAATAGTCTACTGAGGGAGCATGAGAAGAAAAAATCTGGGTCTCTGAATTGCGCTTTTGGAAGTGTCTGAGATTGGTGTAATGGTGGACGTTTTGCTGTCAGCTCCTCTCCATAGACCTATTCATTTGGAAGTTGTCTGGATCTCTTACACTATTACACTTGCATGTTACTTTTAGTTGCCATTGTGTTAATTCTGACTCGTGGTGAGTCCATGTGTACAGAGTTGGACTGCTCCATAGGATTTTCGAGCTGTGACCTTTCAAAAGCAGATAGACAGGCTTATCTTCCAAGGGACATCTGGGTGTGTTCAAACCGCCAACCTTTCTATTCGTAGTCAAGCACTTAGTCATTAGCACCACCCAAGAACTCCAGTACACATATGTTGCTCTGACGAACTCAGATAAAAGTGGTTTTGTCTTTTGTATGGTTTCCTCTTACGTGTGTTTCTTTCGTCTGTTCAACGCACAACAGAACATACTTTTAACTTTCCTTTGTTCCTCTCTGACCACCCTCCAACACCCTGCCCACTGCCTAGAGTTGACTTGTTATACAGCGGCAGTGTGTGGAGGACCACTTGGTAATCTTACTGCCTATATCTGGCTCTCTCTTCAGAACAGCATGATCCTCTCTGCTGCCATCTTCATCACCCTCGTAGGCCTGCTGGGTTACCTTCATTTTGTGAAGATTGATCAGGAAACTCTGTTAATCATTGATTCCCTGGGCATCCAGATGACTTCATACTATGCCTCAGGCAAAGAAAGTACCACCTTCATTGAGATGGGCAAGGTGAAGGATATTGTTATTAATGAGGCTATTTATATGGTAAGTGTTTGTATGATAACGCTTTCATGACTTAATTATTTTCTGCTTTGAATTTTATGTTGATACCATGTGTTTTCAGTAATGGAAGACATGCTGAAATTAAGGAAAAAAACTTTTGCTATAATTTGGATTTTGATGCAATCATATGGGACACATATGTTCCAAGTGGACTCTCATGGTAGGATTGGTGGGGTGAGGCCTGTTTCTTCAGATTCATACAGTTATACAGGTCCCCACCATACTGTAGTCCTCGGAAGGAAGATGGGGCAATCTACTTCCATAGTGATACTGCCTTGGAAACCCAGGGAGGGGTTGCTATGAGTCGGGGCCAACTCGACGGCACATAACAACAACAACAACAACAACAACTATGCTGTAGTACATACTACAAGTGGGATAGAAACTTCTTAAGAAAACTGGGAGGCTGAAAATGTTGGTGGGTGATGTTTGTCCAAAATACCACAAAAGGGGTAAGGAATACAAGCTTTTCCAGAGAATATAGCAGACGAGGTGTTCCAGGATCTAAACTGAGTCTTAATACCTAGACTGTTTGATGTCACAGAACTCAATTTGAGAACTTTTCTGCTCCCGTACTTGAAATGTGTCCATTTTGGCTGACATTTCTGTAAACCATAGGAGTGAAATTTATGTTGAAAAAATAAGATGCTTTATTTTTAAAGAAAAGCAATAGGTTTTTATGAATAAGAAGTCAGCACTTCAACTTTAGTTTCTAGTCCAGCTTTAAAATTATCTTTTTTCATTTGAAGAATAAGAGTATACTTCTTTTCTCCCATTTCAGGGCTATCAAGTCTTCTGTTTTGTTGTTGTTATTGTTAGGTACCATTGAGTTGGCTCCGGCTCATAGCAACCCTGTGTACAACACAAAGAAACACTGCCCAGTCCTGCTCCAGCCTCACAATCCTTGCTATACCTTAGTCCATCATCGTAGCCACTGTGTCAGTCCATTTCCTTGAGGGCCTTCCCCTTTTTCGCTGACCCTCTACTTTATCAAGCATGATATCATTCTCCAAGGAATGGTCCCTTCTGACAACATGACCAAAGTAGGTCAGACAAAGTCTGGCCATTCTTGCTTCCACAGAGCATTCCAGCTGGACTTCTTCCAGGATAGATTTGTCAGTTCTTCTGGAAGTCTGTGGTACTTTCAGCATTCTTTGCCAACAGCACAACTCAAAAGCATCAACTCTTCAGTCTTCCTTATTCATTTTCCAGCTTTCACATAGATATGAGGTGATTGAAAATACCATAGCTTGGTTTAGGCGTACCTTAGTCTTCAAAGGGGAGCTCTGGTGGCATAGTGCCTAATGCATTTGACTGCTAACCAGAAGGCTGGCGGTTCAAACCCACCAGCCACTCTTTGGAAGGAAGGTTGGGAAATCTACTTCTGTAGTGATACTGCCTTAGAAACCCAAGAAAGGGGTCACTATGAGTCAAAATTGACTTGACACCAGTGAGTTTGTTTTTTGGTTTGGAGTCTTCAATAGACATCTCTGCTCTTCAGCACTTTAAAGAGGTCTTTTGCAGCAGATTTGCCCAGTGCATTATGACATCTGATTTCTTGACTGCTGCTTTCACTGGTGTTGATTGTGGAGCCAAGTGATATGAAATCGTTGACAACTTCAATCTTTTCTTCATTAATCATGATGCTGCTTATTGGTCCAGTTGTGAGGATTTTCATTTTCTTTATGTTGAGATATTATCCATAGTGCAGACTGCAGTCTTTAATCTTCATCAGTAAGTGCTTCAAGTCCTCTTCACTTTCAGCAGGCAAGGTTGTGTTGTCTACATATCATAGGTTGTTAATGAGTCTTCCTCCAATCCTGATGCTGTGTTCTTCTTCATATTGTACAGCTTCTTGGATTATTTGCTGAGCATACAGACTGAATAAGTATGGAGAAAGGGTACAACCCTGACACACTCCCTTCCTGATTTTAAAGCATGCAGTATCTCCTTACTCTGTTAGAGTGGACAGCCTCTGGACTATGTGCAGGTTCCTCATGAGTATAACCAAGTGTTCCGGAATTCCCATTCTTCTCAATGTTATCCATAATTTGTTATGATCCACAAAATCGAATGCTTTTGCACAGTCAAAAAAACAAAAGTAAACATCTTTCTGGTATTCTTTGCTTTTAGCCAAGATCCATCTGACATCAGCAGTGATATACCTCATCCCATGTCATCTTCTTTTATTTATTTATTTATTTTAAAAATGCATTTTATTGAAATATAATTTATGTACAGTGAAATACACAAAACTAAAGTGAGTCAATGCCTTTTTTTTTTTTTTTTTGCAGTTTCTCTCCTCACCCCTGGCAACAAACAAAGTTTCCCTCCATATATAAACCTTTTCTTGAACCTCCACAACAATGAACTAATACTATATTTGTCCTTCTGTGAATGACTTATTTCACTCAGCATAATGTCCTCCAAGTTCATCCATATTATGCGATGTTTTACAGACTCTAAATTATTCTTTAGTGCTGCATAGCATCCCATTATGTGTATGTACCATAGTTTGGTCATCCGCTCTTCCACTGATGGGCATAGTGTGTTTCTATCTTTTTGCTATTGTAAATAGTGCTGCAATGAACATGAGTGTGCATGTATCTGTTCCTGTCTTCGTTCTCACTTCTCTAGGATATGTACCTGGGTCGCTATGAGTCGGGGCTGACTCGACGGCATATAACAACAACAACAACAACAACAATGAGATTGCTGGGTCAAATGGTATCTCCAATTCCAGCTTTCTAAGGAATCGCCACACTGTTTTCCACAGTGGTTGTATCACTTCACAGTCCCACCAGCAGTGTATGAGTGTCCCAATCTCTCCTCATCCCCACCAGCACTTGTTATTTTCTGTCTCGTTGAACCTTGCCATCAGTGCTGGAGTGAGACAGTATCTCATTCTTGTTTTGATTTGCATCTCTCTGATGGCCAATGATTGTGAGTATCTCTTTGTGTATTAGCTGGCCGCCTGAATATCCTCCTTGGTGAAGTGTCTAATCATGTCTTCTGCCCATTTTTCAATTGGATTGTTAATTCCTTTGGTGTTGAGGCAGTGGAGTTTTCTATAAATCTTAGAGACAAGTCCCTTGCCAGATACGTAATTATCGGCAAATATGAATTTGTTGCTGTCATTTTTGTTATGTGCTTTTTCGTGGTGTCGATTTCTTTGTTCCATGTAATTTTCTATTCTGAACT